ATACTAGATTCAGAATTGGTTCTCTAAATTTAGAATTGCATGGCTGGTGGGTGTTGCTTATATACTCTCGTTTATATTAGGATATAATGAATAAATATGTTAACAGAATAAATGTTCGTGGGTTAGGGTGTCTTACAAAATCCATTTATCTCTACCAAGAAATGATGAATTCACAGTAAAAAATGAAAGAAAAGTCAAAACCGACCTTAAAATTGAAAGTTTCAAACATTTTGAGCAGTAGATAAACTTTAATTAAATTGTGTGCTACATGCGTGTCTCTTCAAAGAAACTTTACAAATTATGGTTTGTATGATCAATCTATGAAATGTTTCCTGTATAATGCATTTTTATACCAGTTTTTGTAGTCACTAAGTATAACTTTATACTTGTCTCTTGAAGTATCTTTTTTCACTGTTGTTTATATGGTTTGAACATATTTTATTGTAATATAATTACAAAGGATTAGGCACAAGTTCTGAAAACTACCTACATGTGCATTACACATTTATACAGTCACAGTATTATATGTTATTACATGTATTATATTATTGTTTATATCTTAGTGAAGAGAAAAGAAAGCGGCTTAGTTGAACATTTACTGGACCTTTAGTGTATCGTTCTTTGTAAAGAATGTTATGAGATTTTTGTGTCCAATATATATGTTGTAATTTAAATTCTATTTGGTTGTAAGAAAAAAAAAATATTCAAAACCGACATTATTTGTTTTATTTATGGTGCGTTAACAGTACAATCGCCTGTTTACGTTTTATTGACTAGCCATCCACTGAAGCTCGACCAATCAGAATGAAGAAATGTTGCGCTTGTGGACCGGATATGGACAATATCACCGGCCTCTAGTTGAACGGGAGCCACTCCAGTACAGCTGGAATAAGCAGTGTTCTGCGCTATATTGTTACAGGCATTCATCATATAGCGCACTCCATTGACTAATAGCTCGCTATCAAATACATTCCCTGCTGTTGTCTGGGTTTCCCAGCTAAACACGTAGAAGCCCTTATAAGGGGCTGTGAATTGACCATTTGAGGTATTGTAACAGTTGTGGAAGTTACTTCGGACTCCGTCGTACACGATATCTGTTTGAGTTGATGTGGGAAATGACAAATGACTTTTCCTATATGCTGAGAAATATGCTGGAGCCTGCGCTGTAAAAAAACTGTATATTATACATTTACAGTAAAAAGAAGAAAATGAATGAATAATAAGGTGAATTTCCTATGAAATTAATTTCTTCCTATATTATGTTTATTAAATTTGAATAAATTTCATATTAAGTAACTCTACTACAGTGCAGACAGAGATTTATTTTATTTCATACCATAATGTAAATACAGTAAACAATGCCCTCGAATAAGAGTGCAGTGTTAAGATGGTCCTAATTTTCAATTAATAACAATTCAAAATAAGTTTCCTTAATTTACTCTATTTTGTGAAATCGACGTAAAATCAAGTATTTAATATTTTTTATAAACATCGATTATCTATTAAAAAAATACTTTGCCAAATTTTATCAATTATCCCCGCAAAAGAGTAGTACATGTATACAGTTTATATAATGTCGTAAGAGATTTAATAATAAATTTTCTAAGTATCGAAAAAATAAGAAGCCTTGAGGCGTAGATTATTGATTGTTGAATAAGATGATACACAATCGACTTTAAACCCCATTTATTTTCTGCTTCTTATAATGTTAGTTGACCTTACGAGGATTGACATTTTAATCTCACCAAGATATAGCCCGCATTAATACAAAAGTGTTTCAGAGCTTAAATATGACTGAAGAGTACATTATATCGTTGCATTATATATGTCTTTCTAAGAGATAGAGTGTTGTCTTTTGAACTTTATATTGTTCAATAAATTTCAGATCAATTTTTATTATTTACCTGTGGATACCTGAGCCTTTAGATACGAGTTTTCCTGCTTCAGAGAGCTGACATCCTGAGTAAGTCCTTTAACTTCCTGTGTGAGGCCCTGAACTAAAGCCTCCATTTGTGACAGTCTCTGCTCCATAGCGGAGGAGTCATTCAGCAGCAAGCATTTGTTATTACTAGCCATTAGAATTACTAAGACTAAGGCACGCAGTAAACAAAACGCCATTTTCGTTTCTTCTGATCAAGGTAGTGAGTCTCATAGCTCTGCATTTGATAAGATAAGGAGAGTTTGTTCTGATTTGAAGCCATATAACATTTGATAGGAAAGGGCCGTTCTAGGTTATTGTGCTATCTTGATAGTATCTGTGAAAACCTAAACAATTGCAAAACTAAATAATGTCCTATCCAATGGCACTATCCAATTGTCAATTTAAACAATTAAAATAATTAAATCAAATCTGACCAGACAGGTGCAGAAGCAACCTGAATTAGAAACACGTGTAGCGGCTATCAATTGCTATTGAACAACATGCTGTCATATTTAAATAAATATTTCAACAAACTATTGTGTCATATCAAGGAATCTCAATAAACATATTACTAATTCACGTTCTCAGAGCTCTGTCATTTTTGGAAACAGATCCTTTAATATATATGTCATATTCATTTAGAATTGGTGCTGCAACTTACAGGCACTTGCAAAGCATCACAGAGAATGAAATCCAAATGTCTGGCGGCATTCCAACGCTGTCAAAGAGTTAACGACTATCTTGCGAAAAAAAGGTTGTGAAAATTTAGTGATGTACTATATTCACCGTGGTGGCAATACCATTGGTGTTCCATCACCTAAAAATTACAGATTGAAATTGAATCTTTATTTTTGAAAAAAATTTGCTCAAATGTCAACTAAGTATACCTTACATATCTAGTCATGTCTTTTGCCAATGTTCACAGGTCCATACAAGCTACATTATTTCCAAGAACAGAATTTATCCTAATCCCAGTTAACTATGTATTTGTCATAGAAGGATATGGAGATAACGAACAGTATTCAATTTCAAAGTCCACAAAACTATACAAAATAGCAGAGCAGAGCAAACACGGACCTCCGAAACATCAGAGGTGGGATCAGGTGCCATGTAGGAGCGAGCATCCCCTGCTCATCGGTCACACCGGCCGTGTGCTCCTTGTCAAAGTCAGGAAATAACGGAAAAATCCGTCGACAATTCATTGTATAAATAATGGACTAACAATTGGTATGAAAAACGTTAGACAGTATTTTACTTAATGATAAATATAATTTGCTGCTAAGGTTATTGTATCGACTATACAACTTACGAAATGATGACTTTAAAAGAGACTCTTGATACTCTTGTTTCATCAACTTATTTGTCAAAAATTAAACCCCGTTTTAGGAATTGTTCATACGAAGAGCATGCTCTTGCATAATAATAATAATAATAATGATAGCAATAATTGTTTTTATATAGCTCTTTTCTAACATAAATGCTACTCAAAACGCTTTACAATACATTACTATCCCAGCAGACCATAACAATCTAGAATCTTTATCAGTGCAAGCTTCCGTTAATTCTGACAATATCTTTCACTGTCTATAGCCAGGTACACTTTTTACACTTGGGTGGAGTGAGGAAATTCGTGTTAAGTGCCTTTTCCAAGGACAAAACGTCGACTTGCCGTCGCCAGGATTCGAACTCACAACCTTTCGGTTTGGAGTCCGGCGCCTTAACCACTAGTCTACCGACGCCAACTTATCCAGGTCAGGGTATCAGTATTGAGGGAGAGGTTTCACTTGCCAGAAGCATTTTACCAATACTATGTGCTAATGAGGGATATCCATGTAGTTCGGGGAAAATGATTCTGTGTCCAACTGAATGAGAATATTTAATGTATACCACAAAACGTCTTTGAAAATTATATTGAAATTAATATTTGCTAAGAAATAATGTTAATTGTGTTTTGGTTGTTAAGTAGTTTACTAAGTATTGAGGGAGGGCTTCATTTTACAGAAGCATTTTACCAATACTGACGAGAGATGTCCATTTAGTTCGAGGAAAATGATTTTATATCCAACTTAATGAGAAAATTTAATGTATACCACAAAACGTCTTTGGAAATTATATTGAAATTAATACCACAAAACGTCTTTGGAAATTATATTGAAATTAATATGAAATTATGTTAATTTGGTTTGGTATGTTGTTTTGGTTGTTAAGAAGTTTCCTAGTTTTGAGTGTTGGTATATAAGCTAAATATAGAAACTAGTTCGGTCAGTACGAATAAAACCCATGGCAGAAAAAGAGGCGTTAGGCCACGCCAACAGTTTTCGACAACATGGCCCATTCCTATATATGATGAATTTCAGAATTTTCGACTGAAACATTTAGCAGGTAAAAAAGATGAATATTATATTGCATTTTTTCTCCAGCTAGTAGGCTACCTTATGTATATTTTACGAGTGTATGTTATTTTAATGTATATTCCTTTATGGTAGAATATTTTATTTACTTTTATCTAAGTATTTAGGATTCTAGGGAAGCAATTCAGACCAGTTATTTTGCAGTAAACCTGTTTTGCTTACTGTTGTTATTTAGGCAATGGCAAGCATTTGTTAAAGCTAAATCTAGAATAAAGAGTTTTTTATGGCATATTTTTATTTATTTTGGGGGAAGGGGGGTGGAGGTTAGTTACAACTGTAGATATAAAGTATATATTACGTTCTCTGCTACTTATTTTCATTTAATGAAACCACTGTTGTCTTTTTCTTTTTGTCTTTCTGGGAATGGAAACTCAAGGCCTCCCGGAGAGTATTTGGTAGTTCTTTCCCAGTTGTTTCGAGTAACCATATGAACGATATCGTTGCCAGAAGTGACAGAGAGCCGAATACGACACCTGGTCCCCAAGATACGTAAGTACCCTGTAAAAAAATAAAGTTAATAGATAAAATCGTGAAATATGTTATCTCTCTATATGAAATACTGCTCTTGATCCCGTGGATATAGCTCATGGGATATCGTTTTCATATCCCACACTTAAGTGCAGTTATGACGTCACAGTGGGTTTTGCGTTAGCGTGATGAAGTTAGATATAGCAAAGTCCCAGATAAAAACAGTGTATAAAACATCGGTTTTGAAGTATTAAACATGGGATAAAAAGAATCTCCCATGATTGTTGTGTGTTTTTATCCCCTCGCCAAGGCTCGGGGATAACAATCACACAACTCGTTGGATAAAAATCATATCCAACTACAAATCATGGGAGATCCTATATTTATATTACTACAAAATCTTTCAAAAAGCTGCCTACTAATTTAATAAAAAAAAAACCTAAAATCGAAGATGTATACCTATTTAAAAATACAAACAAACAAAACTGTATAACTTATTAAAAAAGCTTACAAACAAAGCTGCAAATGAGGATACCATTCCTCCAATTCTACCTGCCGCTGACCCCATTCCCATACTGAGTGCCCTATAAACAGAACAAAAATCCTCAAACAGACAAGGGGAAAAACAGAACGAATCTGCATTCACATATATACAGGAAGAAATATATAAATAAAACATATTTCAAACAACTTTAAAATTATTACTTGTAAGTGACTTTTCATATAAGCGCGTCAGTATTAGGATGTACATGTATAGTCCTTTTATTATTATACGTGTTTAAAATTCAGATCTCCTCAGATTTTTTCACTCATATATAGACGTCACTTTATGCCCGTGAAGGGCTTAAAAATTTATACCTAAAAGTATCAGTCACATTATCCAGCGATGGGGTATACGATGAGAAACCGATGCGTTTTTTGATGAAAATGGCGTGGTTGCCGGCCGAGCACCACTATTGATCGGACGGTGACTGAGGCGATTTTGCGAATCGGTGGGGTCATCGGTAGGAAATAATTCGTAGTTAAAATTCAGCGATATCTCCAACGATGTCTCACATCACTCCTCATCGGCAACCCATCATTAACACATCTTACACTGATCGGCCGATGTATGACCGAGCATCTTCAATTGTCCGTTGAATCTGAGGTCATCGGGGGGTTGAGTGGTGTTCAACAGATAACGGCCGATCACCGGTCGATGTTCGACCAAACATTGGCCCGTAGTCAATCGATGTTCGAACGATGTTCACCAATGTATGAGCGATGTAATATACATCGGCCGATTATCCTAGAACATCGTTTTATGATTAGAAATGCTTCGCTGGGCCTTTGTAATTCCGGCCGGCATCCACGCCATTTTTATCATAAAACGCATTGGTTGCCCATCGTATATCCATCGCTGGATAATGTGACTGATTCTTTAAGGACTACTAGGCCGATGTGGACCGATGTTGGAGCATCGTTAACGACACGGATTACCACCGATTACCACCGGTCTACGGCCACCGGCCGGGAAATGTGACCTAGGCATTACTCGGCACTCTGGGCTTTTGAGGAGCGAGGGTTCTTTATCCTGCAAACGCCTGCCGTGACAAGGGGCCTTGGTTTTTAAGGTCGTATCCGAAAGACCTGTGAATTTCGATTCTAATGCCGAACGCTTGGCGAATGAACAGTCATTACCTCAAGGTAGTCTAGTGGTAGAGCGTTCGATTTGTGATCGGGAGGCCCGGGCTCGATTCTTGTTCACGGCGCCGCATCAAACCTAAGACGCAGTATACGTAGATAAGAAATATGAAGACAGCAAACAGTAATATGCTTAAAGTCGTATTTGACTTTTATGAGAAGCACTGATTTAACAATTGACGGTTTATTATGTACGGAGGTACAGAATTATAGATAAGAAAACCTTTCTAATGGTCATAGGTATCGCATCAGGGACACTTACATGTGAAGACCGGGAGTTGAGGATAGATTGGTCGTCGTTTTCTTCAAGGATAACTTATATGTGCATTGGAATAATCCGTAATTTTCGGAACAATGAATGCTGAGCTATATATTCATATCATAAACGAGCGTCCCTACATTGTCCTAGTGTAAATGTCAGCCGTCAACTGTAAAAGTCAGCGCTCCTCGTAAAAGTCCATTAAGCAAAACCATTTTGTAGCAGAGCAAATATGGACCTTTGAAGAGATGAGTTCCGGTGCCACTGAGGAGTAAGCCTCCCCTGTTGATCGGCCACACCCTTCGTGTAATCCTTAATCTGATCGGATCAACAGAAAAATCTATAGACCACTCAGTGTGAAAATAATAGACTAACTATGTAAAGGAAAACGTCAATCAACATGTAGATAAATTGTGGTGGTCTTCATACCAACCATAGAATTTGCAAAAGTTGACTCAAAACGAGATTATAGTTTTAGACATTAATCGCTCATAGGAAATTTTATTTGTGCAGCAAATCAACTGTGAGACATAAACTCCATTTGCAGGTGATATTGATAAATTGCTACATAAAAAAGAGAGTTGACAAGGTGACGTCATCACGTTTATAATCAGGTGTATTTGTTAGTTTTCAACCAATGTCATTTTCAAGTAAAAAGTCGGAATATAAAACGTGTCAGTATTTATAGTGTCTTTTATTTAGAGTTCAGTGGGATATACTGAATCAACCTAAGAATGAAAAGAAATACTGTTAATTGATATAAAAATCGTCATCGATATATCAAAATATTGAGTTTAAGGCCACAGTATGAGTTTTCTTGTTTCCATGTAAAGGTTTTTGAATAGATTTTGCTTCATAGGAATAGAAAAAATAAGTCTTCTGATAATGGGAACAATTTGTCCCCATGGAAATTCCAACGAATTGCTGGAAGCTCCTGTCTTCAAAGATTATATAGATATTGTTCCAATAGAAACTCAAGAACGTTATTAATATAAAAGTCGGAGTACTTGTGTGTAGAGTCAAATTTTTCAACAAAAAGATTTATAGATGACCATTACAAGGTATGTACATTTACATGGTCCATTTTTATTGACAGGATTTGTTTATGACTTTTGGCTTGAATTCCATTACAGGTATGGTAAATCGATATATGATCTAAATTTAAATGTTGGGAATATCAAAATTATTTAAAACTGACATATGATTTTGATGAATTCCATCCCTTCAAAGGGAGCTAAAATTATATGTTGAATAGAATAAAATCCCCAGTTCCTCTGAATTTAAGACAATTGTAATAATAAGCCTTACAAATAAAGACGGTGTTGTTACCTGCTTGTGAAAATCTTTTAAGATATCATGTCTTAGATTGATAGGATAAATCTCTAGATTGTATATAAAATATCACATTTTAGTTTCATAGGATAAATCTCCGGATTGTAAATAAGGATAGATTTCCTTAGATTGGTAGGGTACAGTTCTGGCGTGTATATAAAAATATCATACCTTAGATTGGTAGGGAACAATTCTGGCGTGTATATAAAGATATCATACCTTAGATTGGTAGGGTACATCTCTAGTGTGTATATAAAGATAACATACCTTAGATTGTTGTATATAAAGATATCATACCTTTTGATTGGTAGAGTACAGTTCTGCCGTGTATATACGAGTAAAGATATCATACCTTAGATTGGTAGGGTACAATTCTGGCGTGTATATAAAGATCGTCGTAAAGGACCCTGTTATCATAGACTTTCCGATAAAAATCATGGCGGAGGACAACCCTTTCAGTACTTGAGTATCTTAAAAGAAACACAAATGTAAGAGAGAAAGAGAGGGATGATATATGAAGATAAACAATATTCAATCTCCAATGAAACGATACAAATTTGGAGCAGAGCAAACACGGTTCTCAAAATTTAGAGGTGGGAACAGGTGCCATGCAGGAGTGAGTATCCCCCTGCCTACCGGACGCACCAGCCGTATGCTCCTTGTCATGGTAAAAAAATGAAGAATCCGCAGATGTAGTTCAGTGTTTAGGTGATGGCCTAACAATCAGTATGAAAGGAATAACTCAGCATTTGACTGTAAAGCTTTTCTAAAAAAAAAAAAACAGCACTCGGTGTTATTGTACGGAAGCACGTTGAAACCATTCCAAGGAAATAAATATATTTTTATTGCGTTCAAACGCAATAATTATTGCGTTTAAACGCAAAACTTTGCGTTTAATCGCAATAATCATTGCGTTTAAACACAAAACAATTTGCGTTTAATCGCAAAAGATTGCAATTAAACGCAATTTTTTGCGATTAAACGGAATAATATTGCGATTAAATGCAATAATTATTGTATTTAAACGCAATAATATTTTTGCGTTTAATCGCAATAGTTTTTGCGCTAAAACGCAATAATATTGCGATTAAACGCAAAACAATTTGTGTTTAATCGCAAAAGATTGCAATTAAACGCAATTTTTTGCGATTAAACGGAATAATATTGCGATTAAATGCAATAATTATTGTATTTAAACGCAATAATATTTCTGCGTTTAATCGCAATAGTTTTTGCGCTAAAACGCAATAATATTGCGATTAAACGCAATACCTTTGCGATTAAACGCAATATTTTTTCTTGCATTTAAACACAATAATCTTTGTATTTAAAAGCAAGCATTTCTATTGATCTTTGAAGAGTGCAATGGATCCACGCTGATATTTGTTTCTTTTTTTTTCTTTTGTACATTAATCTATGAGTAGAATTGTGTATTGTTAAGCTTGATAGAATCAGATTCTTCTGAAGAAGCATTTTTTGAATGGTTAAATCATGGTATGGATTTAAAGAGGAGAAAGAAGTGTTGGTCTGTAAAAACAAAGACAATCTTAGAAAGAAACAAAGCTTTAGGATGCAAAACTATGCATACAATTTTAAAGCTAAAGAAAAAGTATCACTACAAGTTGCGATCACAAAGTATGCACCATGTACCTTTATAAAGAGCTTAAGGAAACGACTGATGAAATGTTTAGACTAATGTATATGTGCATGTACATATTATGTATATGTATATTCACAACCTTTCCTTTGATAACATACAGTAAACACGAGAATTAAGGAGATGGAATTCACATGAAATCAAAAATAAATCAAATGAAAACAGATTGACCGATGTGTATTACCAAATTGGTATGGCTCTCAATACCACTGAAACATTCTTAATTAATTTGCTGTGATACCTACGGAATTAATTATAATGCGTTAAAATTGTTGGATTCTAATAGGTTTAAGAAACTCTGGTTGTTTACTTAGGATGTCATTGTTAAACTTCAAATCTCACAAACTGCATCATTTAGCAACAAGACACAGTTCTTCTTTAAAGAATCAGACCGTAGTATTCAAAATAAGTTTTGGCGATGTTTGATTTCAAACTACAGCACTGAATCATTGTGATTAAATT